ATATATATATATATATATATATATATATATATATATATATATATGTTTTGTTTAATGGGATGTTGTACGTCTGAATTGCTTCCTGCTGCGTATAGCCACCTTGCACGCCTCATGAGTGCGCACGCGGATGCACGGCTGGGTGCATGGACGTCCCAGTTGCTGCCGTCGCACTGTTTTATTCCCACCCACTTTGCTGCACGATGTTAAAACGTCCTTGTATCAATGTTTTTTTTGTTTTTGTTTTTGTTTGCTTCTGTGTGTGTGTGTGTGTGTCTCCGCTTCTGCCCGCAGAACACGAAAAATAACAACGCCAGTAAGAGAAACTTGAAAAAAGAGTGAAGAAGGGAGAAAGATAAACCGTGATTCCCCGTGTATTTACTTTACTAATATATATCCACACTGAACAAAGTATTTACAATACAATAAAACACACAAGTGGACGATGTCGCAGAAAATCAAGGTCACTGGAACCGTCGTGGAGCTTGACGGGGACGAGATGACCCGCGTGATTTGGAAGCTGATTAAGGAGAAGCTCATTCTCCCTTTTCTCGATATTCCCATTGAATATTACGACCTTTCATTGGAAAACCGAGACGAAACAGCTGACCAAATCACCGTTGACGCCGCACACGCCATTCAGAAGCACGGCGTTGGCATCAAGTGCGCCACGATCACCCCCGATGAGGCTCGCGTGGAGGAGTTTAAACTTAAACAAATGTGGAAAAGTCCAAATGGCACAATTCGAAATATTTTGGGCGGCACGGTTTTTCGTGAGCCTATTATGTGTAAGAACATTCCGCGCCTGGTGACAACCTGGAAGTACCCCATTGTTATTGGGCGTCACGCGTTTGGCGACCAGTACAGGGCGACCGACGTGGTTTTGGACAGGCCAGGAACCTTTGAAATGCGTTTTGTTCCCGCAGACGGTGGTGAACCGCAGGTGCACAAGGTGTACGACTTCAAGTCGGGCGGTGTTATGATGGGAATGTACAACACGGATGAAAGCATTAAGGCTTTTGCAAAGAGCTGCTTTGAGTACGCCCTTTCCAAGCGGTGGCCCCTCTACTTGTCCACGAAGAACACAATTTTAAAGCGTTACGACGGCCGTTTTAAGGACATTTTTGCGGAAATGTACGCAACGGCATACGTGCATAAGTTTAAAGAGGCCGGGATTTGGTACGAGCACCGTCTCATTGACGATATGGTTGCGTATGCCATGAAGAGTGAGGGTGGGTATGTGTGGGCCTGTAAAAACTACGATGGTGACGTTCAATCTGACTCCATTGCCCAAGGATTTGGCTCGCTTGGCCTCATGACCTCAGTTCTCATGTCTCCGGACGGTCGAGTTGTGGAAGCTGAGGCGGCCCATGGGACCGTGACTCGCCACTACCGGCAGTACCAGCGGAATGAGGAAACGAGTACAAATCCGGTGGCGTCTATCTTTGCCTGGACGCGAGGCCTCATTCACCGCGGCAAGCTGGATAATAACGGAAAGCTCGTCAATTTTGCAACGCTGCTGGAGAAGGTGGTTGTTTCCACTATTGAGGCCGGTTTCATGACGAAGGATCTTGCGATTTGCATAAAGGGGATGCAACACGTCACTCGCAGTGACTACTTGAACACCCACGAGTTCATCCTGAAGCTTTCCGAAGAAATTGGGCGCGCGTATGAGGTCAGCAAGATCTGATTCGATATTATTTCTAGTGTTTGTGTCTATGTTTATGTGTATACGCCTTTTTCTTCTTCTTAAGAAGAGAAGGGAGCCCGTGGAGGAGGAAAAAAAAAACGTTCAAACTGATAAGTCTAATCAAATAAAAAAAAAATTTTTTTTGGTCACCCCATCCACTGCTTCATCTCAGAACTTGCTTTGGCGTTTTCAAAGAGCCCGGTTTAGAAGGCACTGACGGCAGTCTTCCCCCCGACGACTAGAAACCCCTTTTGTGCGGGGGGAACCAGGCTGATGCGTGCCTCACCAAGGACTGTCATTTTGTGTCTTCATAATACGTCCCGGTCATCGTGATACGTCTTTTCAATTTGTTTGTGTAGTTGGAGGGCAGAGCGGTGGGTAATACGTCCTACAAGGGTTGGTTGTTGGGGGTGGAATGAACGAAAAGGTACGTGTAAGTGGTGTTGGTGGTAGCGTTTTTCTTCTTGTGGATATGAAATGAAACGGAGCAGCCCACCTTCAGGTGTGTACTCTTGCAGAAATGCACGGAGAGGGAAAGGGAAAAAGAAAGAAAGAAATACATAAAGAGCGGTAGAATTGAATGCTGCAGAAGATTGTTGTTGTTGCTATTGTTTGTATATGTATTTTGGGTTGTGTTCTTGCGTGTGTTGGTTGGCAACGTGGTATTCATAATATGGACTTTTCACTTTATTTATTTTTTATTTATTTTATTATTATTTTTTTTCGGTGGTACCTATTAAATATATAGTTCGGTAACAAGACGTTTCAGAAGAAAAAAAAAATATCATTATTATTATTTAGCTCCCACCGTTATTGTTTACATCCCAGGTTTTGGTATACGTGTGCTTCTACGTGGTGCACTGCCCACATTGCACACTATGGGATGAATTTCTTTTTTGTCTTGTATTTGTTTGCCTTCATCTCATATTGTTTTGCGGCGGGGTCAATTCAAGTACGTACACACGGTTGCGTAGGAAATGGTTGTTTTTGATCCCGCAAAGTTTTTGTCGGACATAAGGGATGTAGATAAGGATTTACGGGAAATGGCCTTGTTTGACCTGCAACAGGCGCTGAGGGAACCGGGGTTTCACCTGAGTGAGAGTGACGGCGACATGGTGCTGGAGATGGTGCTGCGTTGCTTTACCAAGGACGAACCCGACAGGGAGGTACGCAACAATGCCATTCAGGTCGCACCACGACTTTTCTTTGTTTGCAGTGAACGTCAGCAGATCCGCTTGTTCTCCTTTTTGTGTGCTGCGGCTACGTTGCGGGGAACGGAATTTGGTGATAGGGGGTCGTCGGAGCTATTGGAGAGTTCAGCGTTTGCTGTTGGGCTTTGCAGCGAGGCCGTGGCGGAGAAGGCGCGGTTGAATGTGGATGTTTGGCAGCGTTTACTGCCTGTTGCACACCGTATCAATACAACGCTTCTCGCCAAACTGAACGACAAGAACGTGGATATTTGCAGGGGCGGAATGTACGATGCCATGATTGCACTCATTGTTCCTTTTGCGCGTACGTATCCGTGCGAAGTGCGTGACGACATAGCAAAGATGGCGTTGCTGGATTTTTCCGGCACAGGCTCCACTTGTCGTTGTGTCATTGCCTGTCTTTCGCTGCTGTCGCCGTTTTTAAGCGAAGCTGCATTTAATGATGTCCGTCAAACGGCAATTCGCGGGCTTCAGAGGGCTGACCCCAGTGCAAGGTTGCTGCCACACCTGCATTTGTACGACGCTTTGGTAAAACATTCTCCTCTGCGCATGATGACAGACGTCTGTGCAGTGATGCGTGTCCTTTTAACGGAGATGCGACGACGCATGAACGAATACGCGTCAGACGACGACGATATCTGTGACGCGTTGATGCGTGTCATGAATTCCATGGTGTGTCAATACCCGAGTGACCTCTCCGCCCTGCATGGCGACATCTTTGACTGTTGTATCTCGTTGATGCGTTTTGACCCCAACTATTGCGCGGACGCAGAAGACGAGGTGGAGGCGGAGACGGAGACGGAGGACACCTACGCAGATTATTACTTGGAACTAGAGGAGGTGGACATGTCATGGAAGTTACGCATGTGGGCTGCCAAACTTCTTTCTTCCTTGATACAAGTGTCACCCACCGCGGAGGCCTTGATTCGGCGCCTGTGCAAAGCCGATTTTGCTGCAGTGAACGACAGGGTGGAGGAGGTGCAACTGGCCAATCTGCACTTGGTAAATGCTATTGCGCAGCAACCGTGTGGCGGTGAGGTACCCTCCATATTCCTGGAGGTGGTGGAACCTTTATTAACGTGTGTTTGTGGCTCCAGTCAAAAGGTGAGTATAACGGCTATAAAGTCCCTGCAACTCATGTTTGAACTGCATGGAGCCGCGCTTATTCAAATCGGCGAGGCGGTGTGTCGTGTTGTGTCTGAACTTGTCGTGAGGGACACGAATGGCACGAGCCTCTTTAATTCAGAAGTCATAACGTTGTCGCAATGCGTGATGGACGCTACCTTGCTGGAGCCTAAAAAGGCGTTCATGGCAGCCAAACTCTTTGACACCATTTTTTACATGATTAGTAAAGGCCAGCTTGACAACGTTAGCGACCGCGCGCTTCGCATGCTCAGGATAATGACGCGTGTTGCCCTCACCACGGGCGCCTCCTGCACTGATCGTTGTGTGACATTGTGTTTTTTTCTGCTAGAGACGAAGTTAACGGACGTGGAGGTGTCCCAGGCCGCAACGACGGCCATAGGGAGGTGTCTTTCTAGTCTTCTCGAAACACTTCCAACGGACGCCGTGTGCGACATTTTACAGCGATTGATTTTGCTTGCAGAGACAAACTGGAATGCGCTAGAGGTGCTGGGCTCCGTGCTTGGCAACTCCACCGCAATTCGCGTGCCAGCCGACCTCTTGGAGCGGATTGTGAAGTATACCATAAAATGCCCTCGCCCACAGCAGCACGTGATCTTTGGGGTTGTGAGGGACACTTTAAGAAACGGATCAGAACTCACAAGTGAAGCACTGCATCATGTGATGCAAATGGTAGAGCGGGACACCTTCACAAGCAAGAATGTTGTGCTCCTGGAGGTCGCTTTAGAACTGTTAACCGAGGTTTGCAAGAAATACCCGCACGTGATTGAGCAAATGCTAAGCGTGATACTTGCAGGTGTTTGGAGTGTCCTGGAAACGGTGATAACCCCGGCTGCTCCCTTACAGACTCGGGTTGTAGCAAACACCGTGACCTTTTTCCATGCAATTTGTTTGCAGCTACCACAACACCGTCCCGCACTGCTTGAGGCGGTATTGAGGCGAACAGTAGCCTCTGCCTCTCCTGACATTTATAGCGAGCTCTTGGGCGGCATTGTCCTTGACAATGGAGAGCTGCTGGATCAAATTTCCTCCTGTTGTGCTCAAAACGAGGATATGGTTTGTCTCTGTGTGGGGACAACAGGCTGTTCCCAGCCCCTCCCTGATACGTGGAGGGCGCGGCTGGTGGAAAATTTTGTCAGCGCAGGTTCAGAAGCGGCACGTCGTTTGGCGTTGTTGTCGATTAGCCGGGCTGCGGTAAACCCACAAAATATTTCACTCGTAACGCAAGTGGTGGAGTGCGCGGTGACGGGGCAGAAGGATCGGTCGCTGTATTGGCGGCTACTCAGGGAAATGACGAGTACAGCGGCCTCGCAGGTGGTATCCTCCTTCAGCGAACATACATTCTGTAAACTTGTCATGGAACGTCTTTTGGAGAATGTATTGGAGGATGACGTGGAAACATCTGCCGCGGTTCTTGGAAGCTTCCTCTCGTTTGATCTGATGGATCTTATTGATATTACACGCCGTTGCTTGAACAGCGACTCGGAACTTGTTAAAGCAACGTGCATATCCACCCAGCGCTACGTTATCTCACACTGCAAAAGCGAAGACATTAATCCTCAGCTGACCGGCGTTATTGAAGAGTCACTCCGACATTTGAGACGCACCTCTTCCGTTTATGTTCGGCTCTCAGCCTTACAACTGTTTGCAAGCGTGGCGTCTTCTCAGCCTCAGCTTTTGCTTACCCCAACCATGCGGGATGTGGTGTACCCCAACGTGCTTGCTGAACTTGTTGAAGATTTGAGTCTTGTTTTGACCGTCAATCTTGGTGGATATACGCATCGAGATGACAAGGGAATAGAAGTTCGGCGACTGGCGTTTGAGAGTATTGCTATTCTGCTTAGGGAGACAGGGCGGCAACGCAGAGGAACAGTGTTGGAATTTTTTGCGCGTTTTGAAGAGCTTCTCCAGTGTCTGGTTCATGCCTGCGGTCCACAGGAGAAGGGTGAGACGGATGTGGGGTTGAATAATCAGGCTAAAACACTTTTGGTACGGCTTGTGAAAACGTACCCCAATCTACCCTGGAGTGACGCCTTGCTCACCTCCTTGCATGCCAAACTAAAGGCAGTGTTGGAAACGAACAGTAAGACTACCGCTGCGGATGCTGAGAAGGCGCGAGTAAACATGATGTATACGTTAAGTTGTGTGATGCGACTGACGGAGTGCGTGCCCTTTGCCTACCTGCCACAGTTTCAGCCACTTCTTCTAATGGCTCAGGGCTCACCTTTATTGACGGAATCAATGCGACTCGTGTTGTGAAGCGAGGTGTTTTTCTCATTTATTTATTTGTTCGTTTCTCATGTTTGTGCTCCTTTGTAACGGGTCTGGTTAGGCCTTTCGTTTCTTCTCACAGCTATTATGTGTCTTGTCAGCTCATTTTTTTCCGAGTTGCCGAACGATGGCCGCAGTCTTACATGAATACGGGCACATAGACATACAGCCACGCACATTCCTTGGGATTTTTTTTTATTGTTGTCTTCTTTCCCTTTTTAAATTTAATTTGGTGTGTTGTTGTTGTTTTGTGTGTGTGTGTTTGTGTGTGCATGCGTCTCTCGGTGTTTGGTTGGTTTCGTATGAGGCTAGGGCGGGGGCCGGAATGTTTCGTTTGGGTTTCTTGCTGCGATGTGCAGGGAAAGAAATTGTACTATCAACACCCGCCGAGGTTACCGTGCTAAGGAAGGTGCTTTGCCCGACTATTCAGCCGTCGGAGCTGGCTTCCCTTGCTGCCGACACTGCGGCAGCAATGCGGCGTCTGGATATTCCTTCCACAGTCACTATCATCCAGCTGTTTGCACAGCACGGTGTGCGCCATGAGGATCTAATGCTGACGGGTCTCTGGAAGGTCTTCAAAGCGGACTGGCCTTTGCTTGTTGGAAAGGGAGAAACGGGATTGATGCGGGATTTTGCTGCTTGCACGGCGACAGCCTTTTGTCTGACGTTTCGCGAGGGGTTCGTGCATGACCCGCAATTACTGGCCATTGCTTTTGGACGATGTGTGGAGTGTGCTCCCCACTTGTCCTTTCACGGCGTCGTTGATGCGTACGAGGGTATTCGTCTCTTTGGTCGAAGGTACTTTAGTCTCACAGAGGTGGCATTGTACTCGGGAGGAGTAGATGCGGACCCGCAGGCACTTGACGCCGTCAAGGAGCCTTCCTCCTCTACGATTTTATCCAGCCAGCCAAACCTTGTGGACGTGCTTTGTGGCGAGTTGGAGTCTCGGTTAAGGCTGACAATAGATGGGGTCTGTGAACACGATGCCGCCGATGTCGTGCGGTTAATGCACTCGCTCTCCACTGTGGGGGTGATGAATGCCGACACCCTTGTCTCCCTCCGAAGGCTGATTGAGTCTATGCACGTGACCACTGAACTGTTTGTAGACCTCTTAGCAGGCGTGCTTGGGATTCATACGCGCGTCATAGATGTCTTGGAACACGAAGGCGACGATGCCTGGCTGCTGTCCGAGCGTTCAGCTCTAGTGAAGGTGTTAACGGAGAAACTTCCACGGAACTTGTTTGGTGATCGTCGCCGCTGCGACCCACAACTGGTATTGGGGCTGCGACAAGTATTCGAGATGCATCCTGCCCTTGCTGAGGACGCACCAAGCCTGTGGGATGCTGTTCGCGTGGTTCGTGTGGCGCACAAGCATGCGACAAGTCAGAAGGAGAAGAAACACCGTCTCGGGGGCGCCTTGTTTAGGCCTGAGTACGCTGTGAAGGTGAAGTCGATCGTGCCGGATCGGTCAGAGGCCGAGCGGTTTGTTCCACCCCAGTTTAAGACGTGGCGTGGTCTCGGTGCCAAGAATTGCCGCCATCAGGGATCGGCAACGCCGCAAAAGATGGGCTTCGGCACGCGTCGGATATCGAGGGACTACATCAAACAAAAACGCAGGAAGTTTGCTCCTGCAGTATGGTGAGACCTTCTTGCTTTCCCCACACACAGAAAAAGAGGTGAGAGGAGCGCCAGAATCAACGCGGCGGTGAATTGGTTGCATCTGTTGATATAAAACAAAAGGAAAGGAGCAAAAAAGAGGCAGCTGTGAGAGGTGTCTCGAGTCAATGCAGTACCTGCGACACCTGTCGAGTTGTTGGTTTTTTTGTGTTATTGCTGGTTTGTGGCAGCTGCCGAAGAGGCGATTTCTTTTTTTTTTTTTTTCTCCGCCCCACCGCTTCCACAGGCATGAAAAGGATGGAAACTAGAATGGGCCCAAAGTTCATTGAAACGGAGGTGGAGTTTGGTAAGCGGCTTCACGGCAGTCGGAAACATGCTGCTGGCAGTGGGGAGGCAGGAGAGGCAAGGAAAGTAGCGAGGTTGCTGCCGCTTTCGGTGGTTCCTCGGAGCGCGGCATTGAAAGCGCTGCAGCCCAGGGAACTGCCTCCGCTGGCATTGGGCCCCTACCCCCAACTCTCGGTCTGGCCCTCGAAGCATAAACGTTCCGTGGGAGGATCTTATCCTCCGCTTGCGCTACAGCTGGAGGCATTTATTAGGAAAGAGCAACAACTGTACCTTCACGAACACCGTGACTGCACGCATGCCGATACACTTCATATTGTGCGAGAGGCATTTTCGGTTTTAATTGAACATTTTATGGAGTACAGAAGAGTCCTCTCGTTCATTCGCGAGGAATACGAGTCAACCATTGACGAAGCTACGAGTGAGCTGCGACGCTTGCGGGCACGTAATTTAGAAAACGAGAGCGAGCGTAGTTTCCACACAATGGAGCTTATGCGTCAGCGTGAAGGGCTTACCACTGTCATCAGTAATCAACAAGCGCAATTGCAGGCCACACAGGGGCTGATTCACTCCCTGCGAGACCAGGTGGCGATGCTTGAAAAATCCAATAGTGATTTATCTGCTGAGGTGAAAGCTACGAAAAAAATGTTTGATGAAAGCATGATGACGTCAAAGCTTTTAAAAGACGCCATGGTTGAAGAGACGGCACGCAACGCCCAACTTATAAATTTGCACAAGTCAGATGAACGGGAGGTAGGTCGGTTGAATGCCCAAATAAACCTGCTGAGGGAAAAGCTTGACGAGGCGGATAAGCGGATTCATACGCTTGTACGGCAGGTGATGTTTAGTTTAGGAACGACAAAGTATAAGAAGCTAGATGAATCAATTGCCAGTGAGCGTGGGTTCTCATCCACTAGTTTAGCTAATTCAGAGAAGGACACGGATCAATCCGTTGTTGCGCTTCAACGTCGGATTGATGACTTGCTGCTTGCGTATGAGCAGTTGAAGCAGCAGAAAACCGAGGCGAAGAAGTCATTTAAAGGTGAGGGGGATAAACATCTCAAGGGAGAGGCGAGTCCGGTTTTTCACGAGGAGTCGGGGGTGGCTGTGGCAGCCACAGTGGACACTAGTAGTAAACTTATTCAGTCGTGGTTACAAGAGGAGAACCTCACGGCGCAAGAAGTTGACAAGTTGGATTTTCTTCTCCCTCCAGGGAATTGGGAAGATGATCCACTCTCCTTCTTGAAGGTGTGTCACCCTGTGCGTAACCTGCGCATGACGAGGGAGGTTGTGGTTAGTGCGCTTCGTGAGTTTTGGTCATTGCGTCAGTTGCAATTTCATGTGCCGCTGAAATCGTTCTTTATGGAGTGGCTACATAAAAAAGTGGGGCCAGGGAAAGCGGCGGAGGAAATTGGACTGAATCTTCTATCGGTGTGTCAAAGAAATCTCGACGACCCTGAGTGTCGTGCGATGTTGTTGGTGCTGCGTTCATTTCTGCCAGAGGATGTGGTGCTGTCGTGGCAGAAGGACATTAAGGAGCTGGAGGGGGCGTGTCAGGACTCTCCCCACCTTGTAGATGGAACCATTGAAACAGCGTTTATTGAAAACGCGTTAAGGATTGTCATGCCCGAGAAGAGCTATGTGCACATGTTGGAGCTTCGGTTGTACCTCTGGCGCCTCAGCGAGGGGTCGGGACGGGTGCCTATCGACGTGCTTTTCAATGAAAGTGGTCATTTTGCCCACATGCTGCGGAGACAGTTTCTCTACGAGGTCGAAGAGTTTACGCTGCAGGTCGTCGAGAGCATCCGACTGCTATCAAAGGACTCCACTACTGTACGACTGCACGACATAACGGAGACTATCAGTAAGTTGGACGGGGGTATTCCTAAAGGGACGCTGCACCGACTTGTGGCGGAGGCGACTCAGCTGACGGCTATTGATGTTGTCAAGGCGGATGCGGACTTCCGAGTGAAACTCCAAACCGTTTTGCATCGTTTCCGCAGTGCGGTGCTTCTGCGGAGAGCAACACCATGTCTGGGTGATGACTCTGCGCTTGATCAGGAGGAAGACAAGAGTGTCAGGGATGAAGATGAAGATGCAGACGAGGAAGACAAGGAGGGCGATGGCGATGAGGGTGGTAAGGGTGCGGCGTGTCCTCCGCCTTCACATCTCAGTTCTCTTCAAACCTCGATCGAGTTGCCGTCAACGCCGTTAAGTTGATTAATCCGATTCCTCTCAATCAATTTCATAAAAAAAAACATGGTGTTATTTGTACTGTTGTTGTTATTGTTTTACCGCCTCTCGATGAGAGACGCGTGTCGTGTATGTAATGTATGCGCTCATACAGCGTGTGGGGAAGAGGAATTTGTATTGTGTTCTTTTGTTTTTTTTGTTTTTTCTTGTACTACTACTACTATTTGTCCGTTTATTTGTGGCCGCTGGCTTTGGGCGAGGAGTGCGGCTCTTCTACGCTTTTTTGCCTGCCTCTTTCTTATCCATATGCCTCAATTTCCTCCTTTCTCTCTCTCTCTCTCTCTCTTACACACACACACACAGTGGGTGTGGGTCTGCCTGACGATTGGAGTTTCGCGGTTGGTGGACGCGGTATTTCCCTATTTTGTTCTCACACTTGTTTGGTCAGCGTTGTTGCGGGCCGGTCCATATCTATACATCTGTATACATTTGTATACATCGGTATATATATATATATATACTTCACCGTGGTGGCCTATTAATAATGGCAAGTGTGATTGCCCACTTTATCGTTATCCTGCTGGGTACCGTCGTATTTGCCGCGTCGAATGCTGCCGTCTCTGATGCTGTGGAGTCGTCAAGGCCACTTCCGCTGCATGACGCTGCCGCTTCTATGGGCCCTGTCACTGTCACTGCCTTAGACACAGCCATGTCTAGTGCCACGGTTACCGCAGTCCCTGTCTCTAGATCCTTGACTTCCAGTGCGACGTTGCTTCCGCCCTCGCCTGAGCGCACCGTCACTGCGAGTGAGCGCTACAGTGTGACACCCACGGTCCCGTCTTTGCCGGCGCTAGTGGTGTGGATTGACGTCTACTTCGAGGTTGAGAGCACTGCCCTCACCCCTGTGAAGCTCGTAGCCCTGCTGCGCCAGGTGGTGTGGAACAACAAAAGCATAAATATGGTGGGCGGCAGCATCTTTGCTGACACTTGGGATCAGATTCTTTTCGAGTCTGTGTCGCACGCCTGTCAGGCACTGGCGGCCGCTAACAAGGGCAAACTGCTTGGCGTGCTAAACGCGTCCTACTCGCCTCCTGTCACCCCAACTCATAAGAACAGCGGCTACATTGTTGTGATAGTGGCTGTGGGGGTTGTGA